GCGTTTAGTTATTATGCTCCAAATATCTGGAACAAACTCCCAGAAACCTGCAGGTCCGCTGCAACTCTTACTACTTTTAAATCCAGGCTGAAGACTTTTCTTTTTGTCGCTGCTTTTAATTGAACTATTCATATCTTAGACTGCACTGTAACTTTTATCCATGTATTTTTTCTTTTAATGTTTATTTTATTAACTTTTCTTTTTAATGACTGATTTTAAATGCCATTTTCTTTTGTAAAGCACTTTGTGTTGAAAAGTGCAATATAAATAAACTTGCCTTGCCTTGCCTTGCCTTGGAACATTAAAATGCTGCTCATCAATTCAAATATCGCCTTTGCAGACCATTTACATGCACAAAAACCTACAGAACACACTACAGAAAAAGGAACATCCCAAAAGGCTTAATAGGGCCCCTTGAATACATTAATCTATTATCTACTACAAATATTAATATTTTAAAAAAAAGAAAAATTGTGCTGATTTTGCTCCCTTGACAACCACATTTCTCTGGGGATTATGAGACCACATTTGAGAACTACATTTAATTCAATTGAAATAGGTTATTCTTGCAGAATAACATTAAGAACATAGTTTAACATGTTAGTCTTCACATTTCTGACATTAAACACTATTGGGAACAGACCTCACGTTATATGAACCTCCTCTGCCTCTCCCATAGTAAAAGAAAATCACTTTCTTTAAGCCAGTAAGCCTGACCAAAACAAACCAGAACACTGCGGTCTGTCAACAGCAAATCACACAAACGGCAATCTGCAGCTCCCGGCTATTTAGCAGGCAAGGTGAGTCCATTTCCAAGGATTGGGGTAATGGATGTGCTGTTGCTGAGCTCTCCTCTCATGGCTCAGTGTCATGCTAACAGCAGGTCTGAGCTAAATGGCTGACCACCTGAGAGGAGGAGCAGCAGGATCCAGAGCAGCAGATCTCCGTACGCCTCTGACAAGCCTGGGGAGAGAGGGTCGCAGAGGAAGGGCGGGTGATGCAGTGACACAGGTTCATATCATGATATCATGGAGGTGCAGCAGTCACAGAGAGGCTGTGATTCTACCTTTTAGAACTCTATTAGTCAGCAGAAAGGTCCTCTTCACGCCAGATGTGCAGCCTTTTACCACTAAATACTATATAATTTCATTGAGTCAATGTTGGTATGTTTGATTATGCCAGGTTCTGACCACACAATATTTGTATCTGTGACGATGTTCTCCAGATAAAGTGATTATGGTGACATAAATCCATGTGTACAAAGTGGGGGAGTAATGAGTCTTAAAACCGTGTAATGAGTTAGCATTTTATTACTTCCAGGTCCCCTTTTTTTTTTTTACGTTTGGTGGTTAGATGCCTGAAATAAGGTCCGTGGTTAACAAAAGCTGAAGAGATGTTCAAGATTTGTTCTTCGACATAAAATACATCCATCCATCCATCCAACTTCTCCCGCTTATCCGTGGTCGGGTCGCGGGGGTAGCAGTTCCAGCAGAGAGCCCCAAACGTTCCTTTCCCTGGCCACATCAACCAGCTCTGACTGGGGGATCCCAAGGCGCTCCCAGGCCAGCCAAGAGATATAATCCCTCCACCTGGTCCTAGGTCTACCCCTTGGTCTCCTCCCAGCTGGACGTGCCTGGAACACCTCCCTAGGGAGGCGCCCAGGTGGCATCCTAACTAGGTGCCCGAACCACCTCAACTGGCTCCTTTCGATGCGAAAAGGAGCCAATATGTGTTTCAAAATGTATCANACATTACCCCTCGCTACTCGATACTGTGGGCAATCCCCACAGGAGCCATTCCACTGCAGTCAGCATGTCGTTGTGTCCCTGGGCAAGACACTTCACCCCAAATGGCTCCTGTGGGGATTGCCCACAGTATCGAGTAGCGAGGGGTAATGTTAGGATTTTATCGATACCGATACTGCTTATCGATACCGGTATTTTTCGATACTCTTATCAATACTTTTCAATAATTTGGTGCTCAAAATGATAGACATGAATACAAGATGTGAAGTCATTTTATTGTGATTTTCTTGCAGAAATAACTGAATAACTTATACATTAGCTTCTCAGAAGCAGACAAAAATAGATAAAATAACTTAAAGGGCCCCGCCCTATCATGCTTTTTGGGGTTTTCCCTCAGACAGAGGATGAAAAAAGGTGCTGCTGCACAGGCAGTATGAGACAAGCATTTATTTTGTTGGCCTAAACCATTCAGTGCTTTATAAACCAGCAACAATATTTTTGAAATCTATTCTTTGACACACAGGAAGCCAGTGTAAAGACTTCAGAACAGGAGTGATGTGATCCACTTTCTTAGTGTTAGTGAGGACTCGAGCAGCAGCGTTCTGAATCAGCTGCAGCTTTCTAATATATCTTTTAGTGAGACCTGTGAAGACACCATTGCAGTAGTCGAGTCTACTGAAGATAAAAGCATGGACAAGTTTTTCCAAATCCTGCTGTGACATTAGTCTTTTAATCCTAGATATGTTCTTTAGGTGATAGTAGGCTGATTTAGTAACTGTTTTAATGTGACTGTTGAAACTCAGGTCAGAGTCCATGACTACACCTAGATTTCTGGCTTTATCTGTTGTTTTGAACATTGTAGGCTGAAGCTCAGCACTCCAAAAGATAATGTACTGTTCTGAGTGAAACAGGCTCTCTTTATAAGAGGACCTCAAAGCAGATTTACATTACAACAACATTCTGGGAGGCCAGCTCTGGCACTGTTTGCAAAACCATCACACCCTACAAGACAATGGGATATACAGACACCCCTCAGACACAGTATGCAAATACCTCACCCCTAAACACGTCTGTTGATCACACATACATTTAAGGTTCACTCCCAAGAGATGACCTAATTAAAGAAACTAAGGTTGGCAATGTTAACACATTTGATCGCAAAATGTCCTTAACATGTCTCAAGAGAGCCCTAAGGCAATTTGTGTGACATGCCTCAAGCTGACTTAACTACCATAATTGTATCACTAGGGGGGAGTTAAAGTCCATCTTAAAGGACAGAGAACAAGAAACCATTGGTCGATGTGATTGCTCTTATATCCCCTAATTTAAGTTGTTTTAAAATTGTGCCAGTTTTTTATGTTGTATAGCAGTTTCTTTTATTTGCATGGTTAATGTGCCATTTCATTTGTTTTTTACAGCTGTATTCGTCTGCCTGTATTGTTTGACTCCATTCTTGCCCATATAAATTGCAGATATTTTTCATGCTTCATCAGAATATTTTCACAAGATGTTTAGGGACGTTAAATGCATCCCCAGTGTGGTTGGCTGGATATGTTGTCACATATTGAGGCTGTCTGGGAACGTTTTTTTTGCTTTTTCTGCTGTCTGGGCAGCCCACAGCCGACCAGGTAAACACCCTCTGTGGAAGTCTGGTCTTGAGATTTGTGCTAATTACACACTGTCATGTAGTTCAAATGAAGTAACAGTTTTTCATGTTTGTAGTTTAATGTTGTAAAAAGCATCGTAAAAAATAATATTTCCCCTATGTAATTATGTAAATATGTAAGATTTATCAATTTAATGAGGATTTATTTTTCATAGTTCACAGACAGGATTCAATAAACAAGAGTCTGTTCTGCCAAGACTCGAGTAATATGAGACCTTAATCACCATGTAGCAAGTAGTTGCAAGCAGCGTAGGCTACTGTAAATAGAAATGTGCGCATATTTGTACCAGTCTCATACGTAAACATAACATCAGATGAAACCACCCATGAGGCTTGATGTTGTTCAGTTGTTTTGCTCAAGTACACTTTGACAGACATATTTTGGGCTCCATGGTAATGTGAAAACATGTACATGTATTTTATTGATATGTTGGAACTTCGACTCAAGAAAGATTCAGCAATTGACTTCCATAATTTATTGGTTATTAGTTATGAGGACAATGATTTATAACATGCAAGCATGAGCAGGATTAAGGGAATGAATCATGACATATTGCTGAAAGCTGTCTCATTTGGCTTGCTTCTCCTCCAAATCTGTCCCAGAGCATTCTTCATCCTCATCGACTGCCACCACCTTCATCACGGGAGGCTGTGTCCTCCTGAGGCGAGCTGCAACTGACCGCTGGAACCTCACTCCTCCAGCCGCCCTCCCACCAGCGACACCCGGCTGTGGCTGGTTGTTCACCCCGGCCAATGAGATCAGCTGCACCTGGCCGGGAGTCAACAGAGAGCCCTGTGGGAGTCCTCCAGCATTTCTCTGCGGCAGCACGGCAAACAATGTGAGCGGCCCACCCCCAGCAACCTGAGTCAACTGCCCCTGTGGATTCACATTGGTACCAGCGCCTCCCTGCCCCACAAGGAATGCTCCACCTTGTTGGAGAGCTCCGATGGGAATCAGCTGCTGCAGAGGAGGCTGACCTACTTGGTTTCTGACTGGCTGGATAAAAAAGGAGCCACCAAGTTGGACTAAGTGTCCCACAAGGGGTGAACCGTTTAGTGGGATCCCATTTGGAACCCCAGCGTTGGCATTGTTGCCAGCTGCTGCTCTATTGTTATTCACTCCCACATTGGCAAGGGCCTCAGCACTCCCTGAAGACACACCACCCTCCACCACAAGAGCAAAGGTGTAGAAGAGAACCCCCAGTGTGCGGAACATGTTTAATCTCAGTCACAGCAGACAGGCGACAGGTACAGAGCTGCTTCTCTCTGTGCTTATATAGAGTGTCAGATTCAGTGATCACTAACAAAGGTCCAGCCCTTTATCTCAAAACAACAAGTCACTGTACTCATCATGACCATGCTGCAGGCTATTTTTTGCTTTGTTACCTTATAGAGGGCCATTATTAAGGGTTAAGTGGCCAAACTCAACCAGTTGTTAGTGACTTGCATTTCTAAAACTATTGTTGCCATGGTCATATTTTCATGTCATGGTGGCATTGGGGTATTGATTGGTGAAAAAAACATGGTATTAGAGTATAAACTGATACATCCCAACCAATATAATGCTACAACTTTATTACACGAGTGTAAAGAAAGTCATCATTAACAACGTGTGCACTGAAATATTCAAGTCCTCAGCTGTCAATAAAGCCTTACTTAGATCTACAATGAAACGTGAATGCAAAGACAAACATTTACAGCATTTAGCTACTAAGATAAGAAACACAAGATTTTTTTTTAAACATTTTGTAACACAAGGTTGTATTATCTTGATTTAAAGAGTAATTATCGACTAAATCACTCTTACATACAAACCACAGTTATTATTTTGAAGCCTGGTACTATGTACAACAACTTTTCTAATAATGAGCTGATGTAAACTTTTCCCCAATTTGGAATGCATTAGAAATACCTTTCTGGATAAAACCAGCTAAATAAAACAGTTTCTTATATTATAATATAATGATTCTAGCTGCTCAGTCTAAATTACAGAACAAATATCCAAATGTCCAAGCTTAGCTTGACACACGACAACAGGAACTACCACCAACACTTGCCCTCTGTAGCAGGAAATAAAAAGGAGTTTCTACAATCTGTATCTGTCAGATTTCATAATGTTGCAGAGGTTCATGGATGCTTCAGGCTGTTGGAGCAGCTTAAACAGGCTTGTGTTGTAGGTGAGGTACAAAGTGGAGCTCAGAACAGCAGGTTGACATCCATATCATCTGTGGATGAAAGAAATGAGTCATTAATATGTTAAAAAACTGAAACAGAATTTGCCAACATCAACGGTATTTGCTATATGCTTTAGAAGTGCATGAGAATCAAAGCAGACAAATATTTTTTTTAAACCTTGGAATAATTGACAGTTTTCTTTTTACTGGAACCCATTAAAAACTATGTTTATGTATACTATTTGATGTTGTGTTATTACCTGACTGAATTAAATTTAAAATAACTTTAAAAAAAGAAATGTCAAGATACTAGTTTACGAATGCTGTCGAAATAACGAGACACAAAGACATGAATTGTCCCTAAATACAGTATTTAGTTAGTAGTAGTACTCATTTATTGTGAACATGTACAGACTCTCATTCAGAAGGTAGCGTCATATGAAACCAAAGCACAAAAGCCATACTCACTGATTAGAAAAGTGTACCATAGTAGCTTAGTGAATATGTGTGGCTCTTACCATTTTTGATACCGAAACAGGAAGTCCACTCTTTAAAGGACACCTGCTTGTCCTTGTCAGCATCGCACTCTTGAAAGAAGCGGGAGGTGCAGTGCTCCATCGGCACCAGAGGGACTCTAAGTGGGGCCAGCTCTGAGTGGGACAAGATTCTGCACAGGATGGAAAAATACCCAATTTGATCATTTTGAGCATCTGATTTATGTAGAGTACAGTATGATTTCCTAGCTTAGTTCTGGCTAGGTTATTGTGATATATTAGCCAGTCATGCTTTTGGCATGACAATGATGAGAAAAATCAACAACAAAAGCCACACAATTGGCTTGAATGACTACAGTGCTGTATACGTGTTCTAACACATAGGCTACTAGTGAAATCCTATAGTCATCACTCTATGATCATTTTAAAACTTAATCTAAAAGTTGATAAAAGTTCACTGTAAACACAGAGTGATAAAATGTACCTGTCAGATGGGTGTTGGTCCAGTTGTGCAAACTGCCAGTGCACTGGGTAGATGTACATGTTGTAGTTCTTCTCAAAGTCCTGCGCCAGCAGCTCAACGGAGTGATCACCAGCATGCAGACGCCTCTCACTCTCAAAGATTTTCTTCACCTACAAATTCAGAACATTAAACATCATATTTTCTTTTTACCAACATGCTATGTGAAGTTATGGACAATCACGTTTTTAATCAAGATTAAAATGGGTAGTTCTTAATAAACTAGAGAGTCCCACTCTAAAACGTTGTTTAGGCGTGAGGAAGCCAGGAGACATGGAGTCATGTTCAAAAAGCTGCAGGAGAACATTCTTCAGCCAATCCCTCATTCGTAATGGGAACTGGACCAGCTCAGTGTCCACACATTGAGGTATTACTAAGAGATAGACAGAAAGAAAGATCATGATCAACCATGCACCATACTTCAAATAGAAAAACTGCTTTAATACCAATTATTCTGTAAGTGGATAACTCTCACATTTGCATGGCCCAGTGTAGTCCATGTGAAGTCTGTGTCCTCTCTTAGTGCCCTCCAGGTTGCATTTAGTGGCAAAGAGTTCACATGATGTATCGTATGTTTTGTTGTTTGTGCCACAAACCTACAGAAATGCACAAGCAAAAGTCTAATTAAATCCAGCAGCTGTTGAAAACAAATCCAGTTTAATTTTCGACAGATCTCAAATACTTACATTATCAAACTCATTGGCACTGTGAGGACAATCTGCCGGCTCTTGACACACGCAGCCTGGCTTTTTGTCCGCATCAAGTTTACATGTCTTTCCACGTTTGCAGGGGAAGTTGTCACATGGATCTATAAGGGGAAAAAAGCACTGCATGACATTTGACCTTTGCTCTGTCTGAATCCTAAAACCAATGTTATCAGGAATAAGGTTCTGTTTTTTTTCCAGTGTTTTGTCTGGAAACCAATGAGCAATAATCACTACAGGCCATCCTCTACATTCCACTGACATTTGAGTTTGCACAGCGATCAAATCAACTTGATCTCCATTATTCTTTTCTTAATCCCCCAGAGCTGTGTTTTGGTAGTGACCGTGAAGCAGAGTGATACCATTCATGCGGAAGTTTTAGCTAAATGATCCAGTCAGCAAATTCCCGTGTGAGTCTGTTGGGATAATGCATTAGTCAGTAAGGGGATTGCTAAATAAACCAACCGGCAGGGGCTTCTGGGCGATGTACGCCTCCACCAGGAGAGGGCCTGGATCCTGGGTAGAGATCCACTGTCGCTCTTATCTGCACTGGATTCATTCCGACTAGAGGGCCCTGAAAAGGTCAAAGGAAAATGTCATTTAAAAAAAAAAATTGCATTTACCAACTTTGTATCTGATTGCAGCACCACAGCAAAAGAAAAAGTCACATATCCTTAAAGGTCCCATGTCATGGCCATTTCTACTGATCATAATTCCATTGTTGAGGTCTACTAAAATAGATTTATATTGTGCAATTTTCCAAAATCACATTGGTTTCTCATACAGCATCTCTGTATAGTATGTGTATTCACTCTCTGTCCAAAACGGCTTGTTGGAGCTCCTGCCCCTCCTCCCAATGAGCCCAGTGGCCATCTGTGAGACAGCGAGACACAGCAAGACACAGCGAGACACAGCGAGACACAGCGAGACATAGCGAGACACAGCGAAACCAGCCCGAACACACACACCCGCAGCCTGGCTGGGAGTTTGTGTGTGTGCTCTGCTCACACACCGACTCACAGCCTCGCAGCATCCCGCCGTCTCGGCAGAGCTGCAGCTGAGAAAAGATTGAGTTTGTGTGTGTGAGGAAGGTACGTAGGAACGTAACGGCTCCATGGATTGGTCCATTTGGACCAATGGGTACATTTGGGTATGGGCACGTCACCATACCCATGAAGAAAACAATGGAAAAAGAGAAATCTCCAATGAGGCGTTCTGGGGCAGCATAGACAGGTATTTTCTGTGTTAGAGTTTTACTCACTACAGGGTGAACTTTGAGGGTTTGTGACTTTACAGACCGTTTACATGCAAAAAAAGCTACATAACACACAAGGGGACGGGTAATAACCTGAAAAGCATGACATGGGACCTTTAAAGAAAACCTGCAGTTACATGTTGTGTCCACTTGAAGGTAGCAGAAACAACACGCAAATAATACTCTGACATATTACTAATTCCAGCTCAATATAAAAAGTTTCATAGTAGATGTTACTGAGAAAATGTAACAGTTTTATGAGTTGAATGTAGTCTCTTGTTTGCTTGACGATTGTGTTTCCTGTTGATTGTATTTTTTTCTAGTCAAACTCTGACTGGTGTTTATATCTCAAAGCATGTCATGGTTAAATAAAGGTTAAACAAAAAAAACTATAACCTTTGCCTTAAGTGACTTGTTTCTCACAGTATGCACAATAACAGGAACCTCAAATAAAGTTAAATGGAATTCAGCCATCCCTTATTGTTTACACCTGTGCTTCTCCTAAATCAAAGTGCCTTCTGTGGGAAACTGTGACAATTTGAGCAACATTGGAGTCGTGTTTCTGACCATCCAGTATTTGTAAATCAAATATTCTCCTAACTTTCAGCTGCTCAATGAACACCAGTGGGACCAACACATCAATTGAATGCTAAAAAGCGCTATGGAGGTAAGGGGAACTGTATTGTGGGGGGATCACTTTGCCACTATGTGTGACCACATTCGCAAGTAGTTTTGTGACCCATCAAAACATATTGATTATAAAGAAATAAACTGTACAGATGATGCATTACCCATTTTCCTGCCCTTCTCCTCTTTGCCTTTTGAACTGTATTGTCAATGCTGCTGGCTTCAGATGGCTGAGGATCTTGTTGGCTCTGTTCCTGTCCAGACTGTGTTTCCTCACTCTGTGGAGAGTGCTTCCTCGCACGCTTGTTCTTCTTCTGCTTCCTTGTCTTTCCCTTGGTGTTGCTTCCACTGTCATTTTTGCTTTTCTCCTCTTCCTTTCCTGCCAGTCGGGACTCTGATTCAAACTCTGTATTGCTCTTTGGTTCTTCAGGGTCCACTGCTTGAGTGTTTTGGACATCTTCTTCATCTGCAATGGTGGGCAGTGTTTTGTCACTGGTTTCCTTCTCTTTGATGTCTTCTTTTGAAGGAGGCTGGATGTCATGAGTGTGGGGTTTTATTTTAACAGATAGAATCTGTAGAGGTAAGATGCCACTATCAGCAGCGTAGTCAAGATCAACAGGGATCTCAGACTCGGTGCTACCATCTGTTTCCTCCAGCAACGTCTTTCCGTCTGTTACTATTTCGCCAGACTTTTCCACCTCTTTTTCTTCTTTCTCCAGCATTTCTGCATCTCCAACAATCTCTTTGTTTACTTCTTTTTCTTCCATCTCTAGTTTGTCATCTTCCTCCTGTCCCTCACCCTCCTCAATGGTCTCCACAGTCTCATCAGACTCCTCCTTGCCTTTGTCCATCTCATCTTCATCTTCTTCTAGCACTCTTTCTTCAGCTTCCTGCTCTTCTTCTGCTTCTTTCTTCAGGAGGTCCACCAACTCCTCTTCACTAAGCAGGACTGCTGTAGGTTTATCGCTCTTTTCAGTCACCTCAAACTCTTCCTCCTGCTTGCTAGCATTAGCATTAGCATTGTCTTGGGAGCTCAGTTCCTCATCGTCTTGCTCCTGGCTGCTGGCCTCAAATGTGACTAAAGTTGGTAAGATCTGTGGCTCGTTGGGCTCCTCTGCGACGATGTCCTTATTTTTGAGGAAAGAGAATATACATTTTACAACAAGGAATCATTTTATGTTTAAAATATAATTTTGATAAATTAGTTAAGAGGCCTGCTCTACCTTTTCTTTTGTTTTATGTGAAGTCTTATGCAATCCATGATGTTTTCCATGATGTTTACTTTTGACCTATATGTTGTGGGGATAGTTGATTATGAACATTCATTCAGTTAAGGTCAAAACTCCAAATAACAACAAACCCCCTCACATTTGTCAGTATAAGTAAGAAAGATATTACTCACAGACAGGGCAAATGTTGCTGACAGTAAGCAAATGAATACTAAGCAGGCCCTCATACCTGAAACAATGAAAAGAGTAGTTTATAAATTGGACAAAAATCGAGACAACATTTATTTATATATGCTCATTAACATTACTGGGAGTTACTGCCGAGATGAAACCTCAATACTGCCTAAACAGAGCACATTATGAACAACCAATACAATATAATCTGACTCCTATACAGTCAAAAACAAAGACAAGAACTTGGCAAATCTCTCAAAGTTAAAATGAATGAGTGAATGTGTGTCCTGACAATACTTTCATGATGAGCAGAGTTGCGGGAATGGCCTCCACTGTTGTCAAGGTTACAGGCTTGAGATGCGCCTCTCTCTCAAAAGTCACATTCAGAGCTAAAGTAAACATCAGAAACTACCAGACTGGAAAAAAGTGGACTTAGTCCACACACTTTTTGTCTCTCTGGATGGAAACAAAACAGACACTATGGGCCTGTCCAGGAGAACAATGGCTCTCTGGCTCGGCCCACTAAACACCAAATAGGTGCAGACAGGGGGGGTGTAAGAAAATCCACCCAAAGTGTTAAATCAAACTATTTTATTTAATATTAACAATAATAAAGTAATGTTAAAAAAGAAACACTTCAGCATTCATTTTATATTTTAAATCATATTCTTAAATATATATATAACATTATTATATTTAAAACATTTGATCGTTTAAGGATTTTTTCACGAAAACTTTAATATTTACAATGCTTAAGGTATAGGTTATATACAACCGTAAGAGGGCTTAATTTGAATGTTTCTTTATTATACACAGCTTATTAGTATACATCTAGTCACTATCTCTTTACATAAAATTAAATAGGGCTTCCCATTACACAAAGTTAAGTTCAATATAAAGTAAAGGCTATCATAACAAATCTCCAGTATAAACAAGGCAGCTTATGCTTAATGAAAAACACAAAGTTGGTAAACAGCAGCATTTCATTACACATCTAGATTTGATCATTAACTAATCTACATACAAATCAATGGAAGATTTTAGTTATTTGGATTTTACCTGAGGCTGGCGGTAACAAGAGAAATGAGAATCCTCGTCTGTGTTGAACCTGTGAAGGTGTCCTTTTGTATTAGAAACAGCGCTCACACTGTCTACATAAACTGGCAAGCTGCACACACACACACACACACACACACACACACACACACACACACACACACACACACACACACTCTCGCTCTCACACACACACGGACGGACGGAAGGACGGACGGACGGACGGACGGACGCACACACACACACACACACACACACACACACACACACACACACACACACACACACACACACACACACACACACACACACACACACACACACACACACACACACACACACACACACACACAGTTTTCTGGGCTTAGGGTGCCAACACTTTTTTTTACTTTGGGAGGGTCTTTGGGCTATAGAGATTCAGAAAGAGGGAGGGCAACAGATCCTGTACTGAATGTCAGTTTGGTGCTTTGTTTCAACAACAACAATTTATTTTGTTACACTTCCTTTGTCTTTAATTTTTATTGACTATTTTGTATTGGAATGTATACAAAACAATAACCACAAAATGAAAATCTGACTATATAATAAGATTAAAGTGTGTTGTTGAGGATAAGCTTATGATATGTAGACACATTGTTAAATCACACAAAGGATAATATAGAAAAAGATAAATGAGTAATGTAATTTAAACTCTTGCTTTAGTGCTCTTTTCCTTATCAGTGATGTCTGCAATTTTTGAATGTAATGTCTATCTCTCAAGTTGGATTGATTTTGTGTTTAGTGAATATTTGACTGAAGTTGTTTCGGTAGCTTGTTGATGACAGAATAAAACCAAGCCAACGTCTGATACTTCTTAAATGAAATGCGTTTTTAGGACAGAAATTATTTTAGCCACTAGATGTCGCTGCTATGCCTGTGATCCACTACTCATTACGACAGAATGAGTTGCAGCTATGTTCACTATTGCAAGACTTTTTCAAATCTTCTAATAATAACTCAGTAGTATTAATTGACAGATCATTTTTATGTTAAGTTAGATTTGTAATGAAAATATAGATTTTCTGATTTCAGAAAAGTTAATAAAATGGACCTTGAGGTGAGATTTGTTGTCAGCCACTGCTTAATACTTGACACTGAAAAGTAATGGGTTAGGCATAAAATGATAATGGTCAAGTACAGTCCCTATATATTGTAATCAAGTACGATAGCTACATTTTCAGACTGCCCATAACTGAGATCAAGACTTAATACTTTCATTACAGTGCACTAACTAACTTTAGTTGACCAAGATGGTGCTCAATAAAAAACAGGAAACAACTAAAACCTGCATCACTTGTCCCTTAAGGATCAGATGTAAATACCACTGCTCTATTAGTAGTTTTTCTTGGTGTAAATCTCCAGTTGCAAGCGATAACCTAAACGCATCAGATGTCTGGCTGAATGCATCAATATTTTATAAATACTTGAGTAACCTTTGGGCAGACACTGTTGACTGCCACAACGAGCATCAGTCGTCCTCTACTCACTCCTCCCTTTTTTCTAAAGCAGGACTTTACAACAACTGGTAGCTGTGGTTTCTGGCAAACAGCTCCAGACTGCTGAACATCCAGTCTAATTACATGTTTCATTTGCACGGTTGAAATCCTATGTGAGGTTAAACAAAGAATTCTTTAATCATATTTAAGGCCTCACCATATATGGAGATCCAGGAAGAAATTATGAGCCTCAGAGAGGAAATATAGAAATCTTTATTTAGCCTTTCTACTGTACATGCTCTATTTGCAAGAACGAGGTTTCTCCAAAACCATCATATAACGCTGAGGACAATTCAAGTTTCAAGCCTTTATTGTCTTTTGCACATTAGCTATAGCTACATAAACTTAGGTCACAGGCTCTTCCAACAGTGCAACATATACTGTATATATAGAACAAATAAAACAGATACAATAGTGTAAGAGAATGGTTTACAAAACGTGTATTTGTTTTTTTTTTCAATCCTTCAAGTCATTCCTCATGTGGTTAATGTGAAAATACTATTCAAGTTGTACAACTATTATAAAAAATAATATAACTAATTGTAGACTAGATAGTATAAGGACAGAAAAACATCCACTTCACCGGAAACAAACATGACCCAATCTGGCCCTCCTTTCCTCTCCGAGTGGGTGAGTTTGTTTTCTCAACAGGCCACAAACCTATGTTTTAGTGCGCTGAACTATATTTCACTAGCGACTCCAGAGGGGGTGGAGAACTAGTAGTGACTGAATGAAATAACTGTGTGTGCGTGTATTTGCGGTGTGTATGTGCAACCACTATCTTGCCAGTGTGTGTGGATGTTTTTTTTCACCGGAACAAATACACCTTCATGTGTGGAAAGGAGACATCCGGGAGGAAGTGATGCAAGCGTTTTAATTACTTATATAGAGTGATCCTTGGAGTTTCCTTCAGCATATCCACACATTGTGCTTTTACTGCCTCAACCACCAGCTCTCCAGCTCAGAAAAGGCTCTGGGTTCTCCTGTTTGCTGCTACACACACTGAACAAGGACCACTGACAACATTTCTCTCAGCAGCTCTGCAACTAACAAACAAAGAGGTACACTTTCACATATTACACAGGTTTATGTTGCTGATATATTACGATGGGTTAACATTATTTCAAACTGCCATTGCTTTAATTTGTATTATTTATATATATATTTTAGAGTATGTATTCATTGTTTATTGATTTTTATTAATGTTTCCTTTTTGTGAATTTGTTTTTTTTTACTTGCCCCAAATTTCCTTTTGGGAAACATACAAAGAAGAAGTATTTCAAATGTTATTGAATCAAATGTGTAATAATATTAATCACATACTGTATGTCTGTTACAGAATGAGGGGTACCGTAGTAATGTTTTGCCTGATTGGAGCAGTTTTTGCCAACCCAGTAAGTATGAAAATAATACAATTAGTGTAAGATGTACTTTTTGATGAAAATAATATACAATTCAATGCACATTTTGCACATAATATATTATTTGTTCTACTAAGGAATATGCATAATATACGTATGGCAAACAAATTAGAGAGTTTACTTTACAACCCTTAAGTGCACATGTGAGCATTTCAGCCCGCAGTAAAATATGTATATTATATAATAACTATAACTAGATAACAGCAGAGCAGGAAGGCTCAGTCATTCAAGAAAACATATTAGAGTTAAAACACACATTTATCTTTGATTATCAACTGACCTGTTATTTCTCTCCAACAGATTTTTTTCAGTGCCATTTCGGAATCAAATTCGCTTGACTCAAACTCGGTGAGTGCTTTTCTAAATCGCACTTTCCTAATATCATATTTGACTCTTTGGGTTTCAGCATAGGAACTCAACATTGTTTAAACATAAATCATTGACTGCAGGCACCATGGCTCCTCCGTCATAGTAAGCAGAAAACCCAACAATAGGTGTGGTTGCTCAAAGATCTCAAGACAATTCCCATTCCAGACAGTATTGTTTACTATACTATGTGTCTGCAGCCATAGCTTGAATGTGATGATTGTTTCTTTTGCAGTTGTAAGGTATAATTAAATATATTGCGATATATGCTTACTTTGTTTCTCCTTCACAGACTGAAAGTTTGTCGGTTTCACAATCTTCAGAAAATGACACCTCAGAGCTTCAGGTAATTAGATTACATTACTTTATTGTCAATACAAAATGCAAGCACAGTGTAACGAAATTAAGGAGGGTCTAACCAGGGTGCAAAACAGTCAGTTATATACACAATTATCAGAAGTATGTACAAAATAAATGATACGAAAATAAAGGTAAATAGATGGGAAATGTATAAATAAGAATAAATACACAGATAATAATAAATACAGTGAATACAGTACTGTATATAAAACAGTAAAGTACAAGAATAATTGCGCTTCAGCACAACACACGACAACAACTAGGCAGTATGGGACACTGGGACAGCGTGGGGTTCATTGTCAGCAGTCTGACTGCTGAAGGGAAGAAGCTGTGCGTAGTCCTGTTGGTTCTACCCGGGAGACTGCGGTAGCATGTCCCAGAGCGGGTGCCACATAGGGGGATAAACAGTGTATGGTTGGGGTGTAATGCACACATTTATCCCAGTAAGGAGGACATTATTATTTTCTGATGCAGATTGAGTTTTGCATCACTTTTCATTGCTGATCTAAACCTTAACTGATATGTATTCCTTTTTCTGTTGCAGAGCTCTGAAGAAAGTAACTCTATTCAAGTAAGTTAGTTGGATTTGTCAATATTATGCATGACCCTAATAGGGAAACATTGAATCTTTTTGATATAATTAAATGAAGGATGTTCTGTATAAATGTCTGAATTATCCTTTTCATATTTTCAGAGTCAGAGCTCAGAGTCAGAATCATCAGAATCCACGTCAGAGGACAAGGTGGGTTGGATCATCACTTTTAACATTATTGTCATTAGTAAACTAAATTACATTAAGCATGTTCCTGGTTGTTTCATAACCTCAAATTCATTTTATTTTAAGAGTTGAGGATGTTATAGCACAGAATCTAGTAGTATCTTTAGTGATGAGAAGTCCAGTAAGCACAACCAAATTAAGAAATACTGTACTGATCTTTGGAAATAAAATGTAGAATATATTCCTATACTTATTTTCCTTTCCCACAAGCAGACTTCAGAGGAGAGTAACAGCCAATCAGATGAGGATGTTGCGGTAAGACCAAATCAAGTATTTTGTCAAATCTAGTATGTTGGCCAATTGTTAATGTGACGCAGCCTAATGCTGGACTCTTCTAAGCTCATCCTATTCACTGCATTTCCACAGATTGATCTTATGATTGAAACCAGAGATGATAGCATGGGCAGCGAGGAGAATATTCGAAAGGTGGGATCAAAAATTAGTTTTATTATTTACATTTCCATATTTAACTAAAAGATAAAAAGTGAACACTATGCTCTGCTTTTTCTCTGCATCAGAGTTGGGTTCAACAGTTCGCAAGTGTCATCAAAGACCTGAGTGCAGAGGAAAACAGCAGCATGGAGGTCAAGGCTCAACCAGACCACCTGACTGAGAAACAGCCCACTCTTACCTCCACCAGCACGAACAACACCGAAAGCAGCAGTGAGAGCACCAGCAGTGAGAGCACCAGCAGTGAAAGCGACCAGACCAACGAGACCAGTGAGGAGAGTGACAGCAGCAGCGAGGAAAGCAAGAGCTTGGAGGACAGTAATGCTATTGACAGCGATGAGCTGCAGCAAATCAAAGCCCCAGACTGTGTGAAGGGAACTCAAAGCTGTGAAAGTGAAGAGTATTTCTTCCAGGATATAGGAGACGATGCTCAGTACTCAGTGGACAATCTAATGATGCCAGAGGAGGCTGAAAGGGAGCTACGTTTAAGGAGATGAGGAGATGCTCTTGTGCAGCTTTTTGTTTTACCACTATGAACTACTGCACAATTAAATGGCCTGCTTGAAGACTTCAGGATGATACATTTTAATCTTGCCCATCGCTTTGAATTTTAATTTTGGCAATATACTGTTACCTGCAGCTGAATTATATATATGTGTGTGTGTGTGTGTGCGTGTGTGTGTGTGTGTGTGTGTGCGTGCGTGCGTGCGATTATTACTGTGATTAAGATTAAGCATTTACTTTTGTTTTGATAATAATAAACATATAATGTAACCATAGTATTGGTTGCTGGACATTTTTTGTATAATCATTCAGAGTGTAGTATACGGTGTAGTATATTAACTTCAACTATCTCTCTCTCTGGTTTAGGGGTCTAAAGATTGGTTAATTATGCAGGGGCCCAGGGTTTGTCACACATACATAACATGTTTTGTCATCAGCTATACTTAACTTGACAGTTCAGTAAGGTAAAAAGCAAAACAAAAAAAATCTGTCTCTTTCCATTTACTGGTGAGAGAAAATCAATGGAAACGAAGGTAAGGACTCAGTAAGTTGCCATATTGTCCAGTCTGTGTACCTTTGTATTAGGAGAGATTTTGTTTAGACACTGGCCAGCCATATAGAGAAAAGATTCCAGGACTCTTGTAAAGAAGACAAAAAAACATATTTCTTCAAGTGTTATGAAATATAACCGGTAGTAGACCATTGATGTTTAAAGTGTTTTGGTACTTTACTGTATCACCACAATTAAGCTAGATTTGTGTATTTTAACCATAAAATCTGTGACTTTAACCAACGAGAGACCATTAATGTGTGGAGTGAATTTGATAGCACTGCAAAAGGGGATGTCCTCTTGTTACTTGATGAAATAATATTTTTGTTGAAGGTCGTTTCGACGTTTGACTTTGTAGGGGCCCCTGGGCCCCCTTGTCCATTTCAGAGGACAGCGTGTATCGGATTGTTTAAAATATGATTGAAATACCTTTATTTTGAAAAAGGCAAACGTGGCCGGTTAGCTCAGTTGGTTAGAGCGTGGTGCTAATAACGCCAAGGTCGCGGGTTCGATACCCGTACTGGCCATCTATCCTTTACACTTCTGACTCTTTTTTTTCATGGAGGAGTTACAAATTAACGAATGTGTACAATGTATCATTCAATTATTTCCGCAGGACCATCATATGGGAAGGCAAGGCAAGGCAAGTTTATTTATATAGCACTTTTCAACACAAGGCAATTCAAAGTGCTTTACAAAAAATGAAAGACATTAAGAAAATGACATTTAAAATCAGTCATTAAAAAGAAAAGTTAATAAAATAAACATTAAAAGAAAAAATAAATACATGGATAAAAGTTACAGTGCAGTCTAAGATATGAATAGTTCAATTAAAAGCAGCGACAAAAGTCTTCAGGCTGGATTTAAAAGTAGTAAGAGTTGCAGCGGACCTGCAGGTTTCTGGGAGATATTTGGAGCATAATAACTGAACGCTGCTTTACCATGTTTAGTTCTGACTCTGGGGACAGAAAGCTGACCAGTCCCTGAAGACCTGAAAGATCTGGATGGTTCATCATTTAGCAGGAGGTCAGAAATATATTTTGGGCCTAAACCATTCAAAGCTTTATAAACAGCAGCAGTATTTTGAAATCTATTCTTTGACACACAGGAAGCCAGTGTAAAGACTTCAGAACAGGAGTGATGTGATCCACTTTCTTAGTGTCAGTGAGGACTCGAGCAGCGGCGTTCTGAATCAGCTGCAGCTTTCTAATAGATTTTTTAGTGAGACCTGCAAACGCACCATTGCAGTAGTCGAGTCTACTGAAGATAAAAGCATGTACAAGTTTTTCCAAATCCTGCTGTGACATCAGTCTTTTAATCCTATATATGTTCTTTAGGTTATAGTAAGCTGATTTAGTAACTGTTTTAATGTGACTGTTGAAACTCAGGTCAGAGTCCATGACTACATCTAGATTTCTGGCTTTATCTGTTGTTTTGAACATTGCAGACTGAAGCTCAGCGCTGACTTTTATACGTTCCTGCCTTGGCTCCAAAAACCATTACCTCAGTTTTATCTTTGTTTAATTGGAGAAAGTTCTGACACATCCAGTCATTGATTTGTTCAATGCACTTACTCAGTGTTTGAATTGGAGCATAGTCTCCTGGTGAAATGGTTACGTACATTTGTGTGTCATCCGCATAGCTATGGTAACTTATTTTGTTGTTCTTCATTATCTGAGCCAGTGGTAGCATGTAGACGTTAAAGAGAAGAGGCCCCAAGATTACAAATATTACACACCAGAAAACACAGAAATATCCGTGAAATAAACATACAGTAGGCTATAAACAATTAAAGGGATAATTGGGAAGGCATTACAAATGTAAATATATTTTAAATAATAAAACAATCCCACCACCACAGGTATCTACAGGAGAAGAGGGAATTCTCTCCACAAAATGTGAATGCCAATGTGGAGAATGCAGTCATGCGGCTGCATTAGCCATCTTTGCCATCCACAATTTCAGCTGCACTGACACCCCCTGTCAGTGGAAGAA